TGTCACCCTTGGTAGAGTGCCATGGTGTCACAGCTCACAGCAACCTCAAACTCTTGGGCGTAAGTAATTATCTTGCCCAGCTATTTTTTGGTTGTAGTTGTCATTGGTGGTTAGCGGGCCCCAGCGGGGCTCGAACCCACCAGCTTCAGTGTTATGTGGCCGGTACCCTACTCACTGAGCTATGGGCTCCAAGCTGCTTTCTTTTCTTTAGTTTGCAAATTCTATTGGTCTTTTCAATGATCTAATGTTTGGTTTCATTGACTTTATTTTTTCTATTTTCTATTTCTTTAATTTTGCTCTAATTATCATTATTTCTGGGCTTCTGGTTATTTTGTTTTAGTTTTTACCCTTTTCTAGTTTCTTGATATGGGTGGTTAGCTGTTTTATTTGAGGTTTTTTTTTTAATTTGCATGACTGACTATAAATTTCCCTCTAATAACTGCCTTTGCTGCATCCCATAAGTTTTGGCAAGTTATTTTGCATATTTATTCATCTCAAATCCTATTTTCCATTGTTATTTCTTCTTTGCTTTACTGTTATTTAGGATTTTTTTAAACACATATTTGTAAACTTTCCAAATTTGGTCTGTTACTAATTTCTAATTTAATTACATTATAATTGGAGAATTTCAATTTTTTAAAAGTTATTGAAATGCTTTTTTGGAGTGGAGGGATGGGGAATTATTAAACAAATTCTAAAAGAGCTATAGCACTTACTGAATTTTTTGTAGTGGTCTAAACATATGGTCTCTCTTCAAAAATGTTTCATTTTTACTTTGAAAGAAGATGTGTTCTGTTGCAATTCAGTAGAGTGTTCTATAGATATATCTATAAAGTCTAGTTGGTTCACAGTGTTATTCAAGTCTTATATTTCCTTGCTGATCTTATAAAATAGTTGCTGTATCCAGTATTAAAAGTGGGGTATCAAGTTTTTATCTGTTGTTGTTGAATTGGTTGTTTCTCCCCCTAATTCCTCTAATTTTGCTGCATGTATTTTGCAACTCTGTTAGATGAATTTATACCTATAATTCTTTTAACTTAAGCATTAAAAAAATGCTATTCTTGTTATTAAATAATAATTTTTTTCTTAAGTCAATTTTGTCTGGCGTTAGTGTATCTGTTCTAGTCCTCTTTGGGCTATTTTTTGCATGACATATATTTTTCCCTTCTTTTGCTTTTAATTAATTTGTGGTTTTGAATCTGAAGTATATTCTCCTACTGACAGCATATAATTTGATTACATATCCTTTCTGTTAATATCTACCTTGTAATTGTAGTTATTTAATGCATTTATTATAATGCAGTTATCAAGGAAGTAGTGTGTAGGTGAGCAATTTTGATATCTAATTTCTATATGTCTTATTTTTCTCTTCTGTTACTGCAGTTTTTTGTTAAAAAGATATTTTCTAATACCATTTCAATTACCTTATTGTTTCTTTTAGTGTGTATGTTAAGTTACTTTTTTAGTGATTGCTATAGGAATTACAATTAACATCTTAATTGGAATCAAACTAGTTCAGATTAATACTAATTTAATTTAACTAATATAGAAAATTTTGCTCCAGTGTACCTCAGTTCTCTTTCCCTTCTTTTGTGCTATTTTTGTCATGTAAATTTTATCAGAAGCCCCATCAACTGAGTTTTATAATTATTGCTTTATTATTGCTTTTACATTTAAACTGTCTTTTATATTTTTATGTAATTACTTCTATTGTTGTGCTTTGTTTCTTCTTATATCTTGAGTTACTGTTTAGTGTCCTTTCATTTAGGCATTACAGACTCACTTTAGTATTTCTTATATGGTAGATATGCTGATAATAGATTGTTTTAGTTTTTGTTTATCCTTCAATTTGAATTATAATTTTATCACACATAGAATTCTTGATTAATAGTCTTTTTCTTTCAATACTTTATTCATTCTTAACAGCTACTTCTTGAAGTCCCACTTCTTGTCATAAACATTTCTACCTTCCCTAATAAATTTAGTTCCCTTTTCCTCTTGTTCTAATAACAATTTGGACATATGTTTTGTTATCACAGTAAGATATAATTCTTTATTTAAATAGCAGCTATTATCAAGGTGTCTGCCACATGAAGGAGCCCAAACAACTTTTGATGAATGAGTGAATGAATGCTTGCTCCTTAACTAGATTGCAAAGATCCTGAAAGTTGCAGAGAGTGTTTATTCTCTGTGCTTCAAGCATTGTCTTGTATAATTCATAATATTGTTCCCCTAAAGAATAAATGAATAAGGTACTAGCCTCATTCTGTCTAGCCATAGAAGAGTTAAAGGACCATGGTGACCAGATCACTTATGTAGTATTTCAGATACAATAAATTGGCTCTTGTCAGCAGGGCCACAGAGGTATGAAATATTTAAAAAGGGACACAATTGTGAAGATACAGGTCTTGGCAAACAGAAACATTTTTGGAAGTAAGATGAAGCGGTTTCATGCCAGGGACAGTGCTTAGCAGGCTGAGGATAGGATGGATTTCATACTTTTGAGAAGATGTATGCCCTATGCAACACCATGCTCATTATATAACTGCAAGGACTCATTTTCTCTCCCACTAAGAGTCATTGCATTCCCCATCATGGGAAAAGGGTCTACTTGTACTTGTACTGACAATCAAATACCATCCATCTTTAATTCTTAGGAAAAAACTATCCCTCCCCAAAGTATGTGGTCTTTTAAATAAGGAATGGATTAGTAAATCCATGGGTCTGACCTTCTTCATAGTGTATTTGACAGAAGAATCCTTTTTTATTTTTATTTGTCAAAGCCTAATTTTTAGGCTACTGCCTAGTGCCATAACTTATAATTTGGAGAGCTTGTCTACTATTTTTAGTTTCTTTAGTCTAAAATGTAAACTATATGTTGCTAATAACTTGAAGTTATTCTCTTTGACAATGACTGAATTCTAACAAGTCATCTAACTCTGAAAGGATTCTGTGTTTTAGAATATTTTTAGTCCTTCCCAAAGGGCTACAATTGAGAATATTAGTTAAAAGAAAAAAGTAAACAAGCAAGAATATCCCTAGGGGAGCAGCTTCTACTTACCTTGCAAGGAGATGTATTCCCTCACAGGTGGCATGAAGACAAGGACACAGGTGGTCCCTTGGCAAATAAGAGCTGCAAGTAGAGAGGGAGAAGACTTCTCCCAGAACACAGTTTTAATTCCCTCAGAGGTCATGATTTACATCATATGCACTGTCACCAGAGCAAAGATGTCTCAGGGGTATTTCTGTATTCAGGGACAACTGTTGATTACCTTGTTTTCCTGATTTCATGTATACTTTAGTAAGAGTAGACTTCTACCAATGTACACACAAGTTCTTTTCCCTAAATTTTGATCAATTAGAAATATGCATAAAAACTTCTACAGAGAAAGACTGGGTATATAACCTGAGTACTTTCACCAGTTCATAAAAAACAGTTTAAAACCTAATTGGGAAATGAATTATAACTAACAGGCTTACACTGCTTTCTGGGGTCACATGATAAAAGTGAGGGGAGGGGAAGTTTTCTCCCTTTTTTTAGGTGCAGGACTAAGCTTTGACAAAATTTGGAAAGGGGTAATATTTGCTTTTTGTATTCTCCCTCCCAAATTAGGGTGCCTCTAACCTCTGTAGCCCAAGATTATGACCCAGACCAACACTCTGAAGGTGGCTTTTAGTCCATATCTTCTCAAATTAGTGTAGTGGGCAAGACACATGGGACTCTAGGATGGGAGGGGCATGAAAGGGCAATTATGATAGATCATAAGGGGTGTCTGGTGCCTGTCCATAGAAAGCACATGCCAATGACTGAATTATCTCCTTTCATAATCATACACATGCTCTTCAAAACATTGTCTACTTTACCTGGGTCATTTGTTATCTCAAATGTAAGATTATTTGTGGAGGAACAAATTGCAAAATTGGGCATGAGAAGACCTAAAAAAAAAAAATAAAAAGTTTACTCTTCTTACTGAGATTTCCTAGTAGAATGTATTATTTCTTCTCGTCTTCTCCCAGGCCTGTTTCTCTTTTATTCATTTAAGACATTTTACGCTAAGTTTAGGTGATGTAGTGTAATATGCTACATATATATCATTAGATATTTCTGTTAAAAGAGTAACAATGCACAAGGGAAATAGGACAGTGAGTTACAACACATGATTGTAAAATGCATTCAAGGCCTTGTATCACTGCTCTCTATTGAAATAGACCTTCTTATGATGCTGGCTCCCCATCCATATTTAGGAATCATACTTCCTCATGCCTGTCTCCTCTTAGAGCATAGGTACTTTCAGCCTAAATTAGAAGAGGCTCAGAAACATTCTAAAATGTTATACACATTTTGTGTCTATGTATAGATGTGTATGAGTTTTTTCCCCCTGTGAAAAGATTCCATAGCTTTTCGATTTTCAAAAATAATTATGATTGAAAAAGGATTTAGAATCACTACCTGAAAGCAATGTCTTGAGAAATAGTGTAGTAGGAACATTATTTCAAGATTTGGTGGTAAGTGATCTCTATAAGCTTCTAAAAACATAATTTAGGTCATTGAAGGTCATTCTGTCATCCACAAATTACTCCAAAATTGAGTAATTTAGTTAAAGTCTCTGTAACATTAGACATTCCTTCAGCACTCAAATACACACATAGAGCAACTTCCTTTGGCCAGAGGTATGATTTTTTCATTGGGGGAGGGTAGGAATTTGACTTATAGGCAAGGTTTTTTTTCCACCAAAGAGTATCACTGAATGTTACAAGTTAAAGTAAGGAAAAATATGCTAATAGTGAAAATTGGTATTTATATCCAGTTTGATTATTAGGAGGCACAAGAATTGAAAATGCATCCAGTATCTTTTGCCTTCCATCTGTCATTAGGTTCCTAGGATTATTAATAGTCTTAGATCATTAAGACCACTTTTAAAACATCTGACTCCCTTAATTACTATTTGCATACTCATCTCCTTTTCCCACAAACTATGAATTCCTCAGTGGAAAGGCCTAGGGCTTTTTTAAATGGTTTTTTTTTTTTTCTGTTTTTTGGAGATAGGGTCTTGCTATGTTGCCCACAGTGGACTCAAAGTCTTGGGCTCAAACAGTCCTCCCACCTCAGCTTCCAAAGCATCTAAAACCACAAGCATGTATTATCATGCCAAGCTTGGGATTGCTTTTTATTCATCTTTGTTAGACTATAATAAATTTACACAAATTTATTAAATTTAATGCATAGGGAAATTGTTGGTACACGGGTATTGAATAAATAAATGTTTGTTAGTTGAACAAGTAAAACTAATGACTTTCTTCTAACCTGTGCACATAATTTGGTAACAAACTTAAACATACCTTCTCACTGAAAAGTATTTATTTGTAAATTGATAATATACACTGTGTACTAAGGATTAAATAATTAATTAAATTGCATAGATAATATTTGTTAAGTATTACTGACTAAAAGGATCATTGTTAGAGTTGTCACTGAAAAATTTAGGACAATTTGTGGACTGTAGCAATAATGTCATTTAAAGAAATGTACCTGTAAATTGCTATTTGCCTTCTGCATAAAATACTTTTCAAAACCATAATGAGGTTTTTTTCATTGAGAAGAAGGAATTTGGTTATCTGCTTTTATATTGCCTTACGGTGGAAATTCTATTGTCAGATTAATGCAGAAAAGTGTATAAAATTTATGAGTTTTGATGTAAGTGTAACCATTCAAGAGAAATAAGTGCATGGAGTTCAGGTAGACATAGACAATTAAAAAAATGCAACGTATTTACATCAGGGAGTGGTTTTAGAGGGAAATGATACATATAAATATTTGGTCATGACAGTACCTCTCATATTTGCTGTTTTAATTTAATGCTAGTATCTAATTATATAAAATATTTTAATATCCAGGGTTTCAGGTGCCAAGCTTAATAATTTTTCTCGCTTGGAGCCAACACTTCACCTTCTGGGTGTGCAGTTTGATCAGAATGTGGCCCATAACATCATCACAGAAAAGCCTGGGGCAGCAACAAAACTTCTGTATCAATTGTACATTGCTCTTCAGAAAAAGAAGAAAAGCGGTTTGGCGGGAATAGAAATGCAAACCATGCAGCCCCTGAAAAACTTGAGACTTCAAAACATGAGAAGTGATGCTTTTCAAGAAGTAGGTACATAAAGAAGTATGGTCAGCATGCCACAGTGTAAATCTGGGTATAGGAGAAGGACAGTGATGTTGCATTCTCAAAGAAGCCCTGTTGGGTATATGTGTCCCTTTTGTATGTTACTGGCTAAACTTGGTTAATTCATTTACCCATCTTTGATGTCTCTCTCTCCATCCTATACATACTGCCAATAACTGTTCCAAATTCCCAGGATTTTTGGTGCCTGTTCCTCTCTTTCCATTTCTACCCTGTGATACTTACCTAAGCTACTGCACAACTTGCTGGATGTCTCCCAATGCCCAGGCTTTCTGCTAGAGGTCAAGCAATTGCTAGATGAATCTTGCCTGTATTCCATTTTCACTGGGTTCTTCTGCTCAGAAACTCTTTTACTTCTTTCTGGTCCTCAGCATAAAGTCTTTCCTCTACATTGAATGTCCTTGAATATGACTTATATATTCCTCTCTTCCTTCTCTCCCACTCAAACTCATCTTTCTGATCTTTCCTCTTTCTCCATCAGTACACACAGACTCTTTCTTGGGAACTCTTAGGGCGGAGGTAATTCTCTCTCTTTGGGTGTTCACCTTCTTGTGCTGATATTGTTGGTTGACTCTTCACTATTTATTTGTCATACGGTCTCACAAGACTTTAGCTACCTCAAATTCAAGGAGAATGTCTATTGCTTTGAATATTGTAATACCCATGAAATGTGTTCTGATTAATCAATAGAACTTTTTGGTTGATAATGTCAGTTCCATGTGATCTACTTATGGTAAATAAAGTGCATTAACTTTTCTAGTCCTCTGGAATAATGATGAATGCTGCTCTGATACAAAATACTAAATAGAAATGGAAACATTTAAACTGTTAAATTTAAAATTTGAAGCAATGATGACTTAATAGATGTGAAGGCCATCTCCATTTTCCGATTTGTTCATTTTTAATAAACATGCTGATACATCTTTTACCAGAATGGATGCAGCACTCCTGGAGAGCTAGCAATCAGATTGGCTGACATCTGATTAATTTAGTATTGCATCCAGCCTCCTTCACTAACAAGTGGGTAACTTTCAGCCAGCCCTTGAACTCAGCACTAGTTTCCCAAGTGTAAAAATAAGGATGGTTATCTCCACCTGCCTTAGAGTTGGCCTTTGGCATAGCTACAGGAGGACAGTATATAATATACAATAAGCTGTAAAGCAGTAAACAGTGACGAGTGCTATAAGAGCTGTGTAGATGAGGACAAATGAGAGCCCATTAAGTTTGATGTTGGTCATTGGTGACCTTCCACAGTCAATCATTCCTTCATTAAACACACATTGCTTAGGCTCCTACTTTATGTCAAGTATTTGCCTAATGAAAAAGATAGAGAACTCCTCAACTCTCTTAGACCTTATGTTTCAGGGTGAGAAAAATATTTCTTTAGAGTGGTATGGATTGTAGTAAGTTACGGGAAAGATTGGCAGTGAGGATGAGCAGAGAATAGATCATTCTTTCAAGAAATACAGAGATAAAAAAAAAAAGAAATAAAGAAATACAGAGGAAAAGAAAGAAAGGAAAGGAGAAAATAAGAAAAGTAGGTGAGAAGAGAGAAGCTCAGAGGAAGTGTGAAATTATTATTTTATGAACATAGAGACTGGGACAACTTGTCAGCTGAGGAAAATAATCACCGGCAGGAAAATGAAAATGGTATAAAGACCAAATGGAGGGAGGTCCTCTGAGGAAGAAAGTAGGAAGATGAAACCCATGGTTTGTGTGGTGGAACAGATATCTTAGGGAAAAAAAGTAAAGGTGTATTTTTCTTAGATAGGAAGAGATACAGATAGTGACATAATAACATTAATAACGGCTGAGATTTATTAAATGTACATGGTGATATGCCAAGCCCTGTTCCAGGTGCTTTATGAATATTATCCAACTTGATCTTCACAACTTCCCTATAAAATAGGCACTTTTATTATTCTCATTTAATAAATAACAAAATTGAGACAAAGATGGATTAAGTAACTTGCCTAATTTTATGCAGCTAGTAGGTGGTAGAGCTAAAACCCAACCCTAGGAGGTTTTAATATTTTTTATTTTTTTACTAGGCAATGGCTGGAGTAATGGGAGAAACATAGCTTCTTATCTCTTACATGTTGAAATTGGTTTTATGAAATAATTTTTGCAAAAATGTGTTTCCAGGAATGCAAATACCATTGATTGAAAATTAAGCTCAGGGCAAAAAAGTTAGCTATAAAAGTATAAATGAAATTATTTTGTAAGAAGTAATTCAAATAGTTTTTTATTGTCCCCACATCAATTAAGGATATGAGTAAATTGGTATGGGGCTAGAATTTATTTTAACTGTCAATAATGATAATTCATAGGAATTTTATTTTGAACACAAATTTTATGTGTGCTTATAATGTTTTTCCTAATGACAAAACCTTTTGAAATGCTTTCTTCATTTAGAGACTTAGAAACCTGATACCACGTCAAACCGATTACAATCTGAAGCAGGTTACAAACAGGTTTCAAGAAAAATATCAACACTCAAAAGAAGAGCTTGCCCGTGTGCATTATGAGGAACTTCAAAGATCTCAAAAATTCAAGGAAGAACAAAGATGTTTTGATATTGAAAAGGTTTTCTTGAACAATTTTCTAGAAATTCAATTAGTGTGAGACACGCATGCTGTTTGCGATTTATGCCTGTAGTACACATTGCATAAGCGGTGATGTAGCACCCGGTCCACGGTGTGTGGCTTTGCTCTGCCCTGCTCTGACCCTTTCTCTCCCTCCCCTTTCCCTTCTCTCCATCCCCACTCTTGCTGACTGTCTCCTCTACTGGTGGCTAAGAATAAGAACTGCTATGGAGTGGCAAGACAACTTGATGTCTTTCACTGGTAGACATCAATCTTTCAGCTGCTTAGTTGGGGTGAGGCGTGCTGCTACCTACCCAGTGGTCAAAGGCTATGCCCATTGTCACCACTAAGGGAGACCAGCAGACAGTTCCCCCTTTCTTTTAACCCTTTGAGGTTTGTACCCTGCTCTGTTTCTCTCTCTGTGGAAATGGGAGTAGTTCTCTGCTTGCTTACCTTTTCAACCACCTTAAAGTTCTTCTTCCTAGTCTTTGCTTCTTTCTTTGACTAACTCCCCACTGCTCCTTAAATTTCTTTAAAAATCTCTAATGATCTCCTGTGCCCTCAATGACATGGGAGGATAATGGTGTGGAGAATCATTAAAGACTTTTACAAGAATTTCAGGTGATTTGGGTATATGGAATGTGTAAACTACAGGCAAAAGAATTATTGTTTTTCCTATTTTTCCCCATTGCACTATAAAAATACTTTTTAAATTCATTTATTTAGAATAATAAGATATTAACATATGCTACATAGTCAACTAAATAGTCAGCTTCTTTGGGGGAAGGAAAAAAAGATGAAAGACAAACTCTGGAAGATCTTAAGATTCTGTTACTTGCCAGAGTAGACAAAGGATTGTACTTCCCTTTGGCATTGCATGGTAAAAAGACAGAGTATTTTTTTTTTTCTTTTTTGAGATACAGTCTCACTTTGTCGCCCTTGATAGAGTGCCATGGAGTCATAGCTCACAACTTCTGCGCTCAAGTGATCCTCTTGCCTCAGTCTCCTGAGTAACTAGGACTACAAGTGTCCACCCAACACCCAGTTTTGTTTTTTTTTTTAGAGATGGGGCCTCACTCTAGCTCAGGCTGGTCTTGAACTTCTGAGCTCAGGCAATCCACCTGCCTCAGCATCCCAGAGTTCTAGGATTACAGGCATCAGCCACTGCGCCCAGCTAGACAGCGTAGTTAAGTAGTTCTTAAAGTAGTTAAGTCAAGACCAAATGCTAAGAATCTTTTATGTGAAGAAAGTCTCCAAAATAAGTTGGAAATAATGACACCATTAAATATTTTGAAATTAATTATGTTAAAAATGATCATAGGAAGCAAATGGGCAAAAGGGAGAGCTTATGTCTTTGTAATTTTCTTAAGAAAAAAGGTTAACATATTGCAGTTAGAGAAAAATTGACATTTTGAAAAATGAAATGAACATTTTTAAATTAACATTAATTTTTGGCTTTTTGATGGTAAATGGAAGCTTCTGGTCTTTGGGCATAGGACCTAAGTAAGAATCATTTGAGTTTTGATACAATGCTTTAGTAATAAAGTCTGATTAGCTTCACGTTACTTCTTAAATAATTTATTTTTAAGTTATTTTATCTGATTTTCAGGCTCTTTTCCCTTTTATTATGTTCTCCTACCTATATTCTTCTTAAAATAATTACTTCATAGATACAGAAGCAATAATCCAAAGATGACATATAATGTAGTGTTAATTCAGCGTTTGAGGCAGCCCTTGAACTCATGGTTTTAGTGTGACTGGATTTTCAGGAAACTTGTCATTTCTATTGGTTCCCTAGACCTCCTAGAAACTGTCTCCTCCGTCAAATTTTCTCTTCAGACCATCTTCAGAGATAGGATTTTCTCTTCCCTCGATTGGTCAGGTCATGAAGGCAAGATCGGGAAACAATTAAATACTCTGCTTTCATTTGGAACATCATCTCTGTTATCCTTTTAGTATCATCACACAGAAAGGAAATACAGACATTGATAGATATAATTTGGAGATTCCAAAACTATGTTCTAACACTACACTTTTCAAAATAAGTCATATTGATACCTTCTTCTTAACATTACACAATTGTGACATACCGTCTAGTTCCTTGGTCAATTGCTGGGTTCTGAAATCCGCAATAGAAAATTGCATATATGTGTATCAATGAGTACATAACATTGCCTATTATTCTGACAACCTGAATAACTAAACTCATGTTTTTGGGATACTCAGCAACGCTTAAGCCGAAGACGACAAAATGAAATAATGGCCCAAATCCAAGCAGCTATCATACAGATTCCTAAACCTACATCGAATTACACTATGAGAGCGCTTGAGGCCCAAAAAATGAGGAAAAAGAAGAAAGAGGCTGAAGTAAGTGATAATCCTTTAATAATGTGTTGTGTTGATCTTAATTAAAGAATGGTCTTTCTCTAAAACACAGAGAGGGACTTTCTAAAACTTCTCGTTGCTTTTCCAGATTGTCTCACTGAAATTCCTCTGCTCTGTGCATGACCAGACTATTCTATATTGTACAGGTAGCTTTAGGCCCAGGATGGCAAACTCCTATTGAGTAGCAGCACCAATCTGGATTCTCGGATTGAGAAGGATTCTGTGGTCTCCATCAAACTAGGTCAGAATAGGGGCTATTGTAATAGGTCATAGCTGCCCTGGGTACGGTAAGGGCCAGTCAAAATGCACATACCATAAAATGTCATTCCTACTATATCTTTTTACTTAGTGCCTTCTCATCATGCACCACTATTTTTCTGAGTCCCAAGAATGCTAAGTGACTCATTGCTATCAGTATATTTAAAGTTAAAAATACCTACACTAGTGATATTTTACTAGACCATAGCAGCTGTCAATCACTCCAACAGGATACAATCTAATTGGCATTCTAATTGTATCCTATAGGGAAACAATACTACCTTTTGGTACTAATCCCTGCAATCTTTACTACATACTGCTAAAATGATAATTGGCATTCTCTAGTGCAACCTCAGAAGAAAATTCATGCCTACCATTTACTGAGTGTCTACTACATGTCAGGCTTGAAAATTTCACATTAGCTTTTAAATCACTCTCCAAGTAGAATATTACTTTCTCCATTTTGTAGATAAGGAAACTGAAACCTAGAATACTGACCTGTTTGCCCAAGATCACAGTGCTAAAGGAGCAGAGATTGACAGATCTGAGTCCTAAATACCCTGCATTACATTAATCTACATTTCTTTGTTTTTTTTTTAAATACTAACAGAATATCCTACTCTTGTATTCTAAAAATTGTGCTTCTAAAAAGTACTACCCAGAGTCTTTTTTCTCACCCCATTTTAGTAGTTACCTCTCATTTATCCCTAAGTCAATTAAAGTTCATTAATAAGGATTTGTAATACATGCAGATGAGCCACTGTTAATTTTCAAAGAATACATTAATAGTGTAAAGAAGGTTGCATGAGGAATGCTTAAAACACCTGAGACAACAATTTTTAAGGAAAAAATATTTATATCCAGGAAACACATGTTCTGCCTATCTGATAATTTTCACTCTCCTTTGACGCCCGTTGGCATGCTGTCAGAATTAGGGTCATGAAGTGAGTGATTCAGGTTAGACAACTCATATTCTTTCACATATAGTCACAGCAGTTGAAAAATACCAAAAAAAAAAAATTATGAAAATATTCTAGAATGCAGCTTTTTATATTTTGCCTCCTAATTCTCTTTAATTAGTAGTATATGTCACCTTATGAACATGAATGAATATGGTAAATGGAGATTTTCAATAGTTTTTGGAGGCAGAGAACTGATAATGAATTTTCTTTAAAGGATGTGGCCAATGAAATTAAGAAGTTTGAAGCATTAATAAAAAAGGATCTCCAAGCAAAAGAAAGGTGGGATGTGAATTAGTTTAGTAATCATATAACTGTATTCTGTTTTATATGTAACTTTTTAATATTTAGAAATAGTTTATCTGGAATAGCTATTTCAAGGCTCTTTTTACTTTAGCAAATCTTTACTCAGAGAGCATATGAGGAAAGATAAATTTCAGATTCTTAACAAACTTTGTAAACATCTAGAGAGAAAGTGGTTATTATGAAATGTGAAATCGATTTATTTTTCTAAGTTTATTCTAAGTTCACACACAACTTTTAAACATTCACTAAGATTATTTCAAGGTACCACTATTTAAATTTGTACCAGTTTATTATTATTAATAAGGATTGCAAATCCTTATTAATAATAGAACACTATTAAAGCTGTTATTAGACTCGAGTTTATTTTCTCTCATGCTATATCTTCAGCATTTAGTGCAAAGACCAGCAAAGGGTTAGAGTAAGAGGGGTTTGTTGACCAAGCGTCACTAACACAGTCAGTTGATGAGTTCATTGCAAAAAGTACTTAATGAATTAGCTTCACTTACCTCAAGGTAAAGATCCCTTACCACGTTCCTACTGGAGGTCACTGATTCACAGGAAACAATCCATTAGAGGACATATACATAGGAGCACCTTGGGTATGTTGACAATTTTATGGGTATGTTGACGGAAATGATGCAAACACTACTCATTTCTATCTTACGGAATATGGAATAAATCTCCATTAAGAAAGATACTAATTCTAAAGAAGAAAATAGGAAAGAAATTATGTATTTCAATTTTGTATTAATAGTTTCTAAAGAAAGACAAATAGATTCAAATGAGGAGGAAAAAGGAAAAGACAAAGAAAGAGGAAAGCAGTCAGGTGCAGAAAGAGCATAAAGCAAAATGGAGAACTACATGAACGTTCTTCCTGCCCTCTGCACAAACTCCTGATGGCCTGTTCTGACTCCTATTCCCGTTTGTTAGCATCGCTTCTGACTCCTAAGAACAACATAATCCAAGTCTTCTTCACCCATGTGGCCACCACCCAAACCCTATTGCACCTACCCTGACCCTGGCCCATGAATCCACCTGGTTTCTTGTAACTCTTTCACTTACTTTACCAGCCACATGCTCTGTGGTGATCAACAGATGGTATCCACCTGGAAAGACCATCTTAAATTATTGAAACACTCTTTTTACTTGTTGGTGAACACTGCTCTCTATAGCTCTCCAGCCAGTCCCTTTCCTTAAGTTCCACACAATTTAGCAACCAGAGTTAACGCTAGGCATGGCAGTGTCTTCTAAGCCCCATATCAGTATCCATTTCAGGTGATTATTGTCTTTATGATGTCATTTACTAAAATGCTTTGAAGATCATCCCCGCACAATTTAGCTGCAACATCTGCCCTGCTTTCCTTGGCCTTTGCCAGCCCAGCCTGACCCTAGGTTTGCTGTAGAAACCCCAAAACCACAGTAGATGGAATCAGAAGTTTACTTCTCTCTCATGTAATAGAAATGAATGAAATATTGATACCCTCACTTCTCAGAGCAGCAGGATGGGGCCTGGGACAGCTCAAGTCCCTGGCCAGTTCCCTCTGGCAGTGAACAGCCTTGTTTGAGACTGTAAACACCTTCCAATGTACTGCACAAAGATCATTTTCTCTGATGGCCCCAAAATGAAAAACACTGGGCCCTGCCAGTCTAGAGTGAAAGTTTAAGGAAAAGAAAGGCTATGGGTACAATATGGTCTTTCTTAAAAACTTCTGTTTTAGTTCATTCTGAATTCTTAATTAGAATTAAGAATTTTGGGGGCTCACTGAGAAATTTCACCCTAACTTAATGGCAGAAAGCACTAAAAACAGCTTGAACCTCAGTAATATTTTCTGTAGTCACTTCTTATAATCCTCTCCTGAATAGTTCCTCAGAGTATTCACCTCAAGGGGAAGAAAGATAAGATGTCTCAATCCTAGCAATACAAGAGCTTCCATGGATATTCTTTCCCCCCACATGTAACAAATGTATTCAATTTTTCACTTTTTAGACAAACACTAAAGACTATCTGCTATCTGTCTATTTAGCTGAAGTTACTGGCTGCCGTATTTTGGCATCTGAATTGATAGATTTCTCTGAAGCTTTTCCTAGCAACTTCTTTTTTTAAAAAATACAAATTTGACCAGGGTTTCTATTATGAATAATTCATACACATGCAATTATTAACCTCTGTGGGGATCTGGCAAGCAAATAGATATAAAGAAAATATAGTCACTTCCCTCATTAGAAACTCACGTCTAAGAAAATTAACATTCAAGTAAATATCAGGAATATTTATACCTTTCTTTAAATAAGACAGTAGATGGATGGATGAATGGATGGTTCAGCCAAATGATAAATAAAAGAGGAGCAATGTGTTAAGTATATTAATGGGAGCATAAGTACAATATTGAAAGAGCTATTAACCAATGCTCAATCCAGAGCAGAATCTTTTGAACAACACACTTATATTTAATTAAATACCTAATTAGATGCTAAATCTTAATAAGGAAATAAGTTTCAACTCTGTCTTTGGCCTTACTGAGTCTTTGGTAGCTATAAAATTTGTGCTCAACTCCCTTCAGTAACAGAATAGAATCAAAAGTTGAGCACCTGCTAAAGAAATAATCAGAATTTCAGTATGTGACTTTTACACTTTCAACATATTATTTCAAATGTAGTAGGCATCAACTGCTTGCCAGGCCTGTTAGACACAGGTACCAAGAGAAGGAAAATAAGATACTTACTAACTCAGAGTTCAACGGGAAGCAGCAAACCTACAAATTATAACCTCAAATGCAATATGATCTGCACTGTAAATATACAATTAATGTATCATATCATTAAACATGATTGATTATGCTTTTATAAGAGAATTTCTCTATGTGAATGGGTGACTACTTAGTCCCTATATACTTTAATAATATGTCCTTGTTTTTAGAATAAGATTCTAAGTTATATTTTAACCTAAATACATTAATTACCACTGATGACATAAAAATAATGATTATTAATAATATAAAAATTCATTACTTCTTGACAGGTAACATTATGGTATATCTCATGTTAGAATACTGTTATATTCTGTTTACTTTTTAAAGAGATATACCAATGAGAATTGATGCTTATTTGACCCTTATTTTCATAAAATACCTTTATTTTAATGATAACTTTCGAATGAACCTATAAATTCTGTACTAAGCTACGATTACTCTCATTGACTTGAAGTCTCACTGACTTGAACTTGTGAGTGTGGCATGATAAGCAAGTCAACTTTCAACAGCTGAGTTTTCCAACAAGGGCTGAGCCACTGTCCTAAGCAATCAGAGATTCATCCAGGAGTTCATGAGCAAGGTGCATTTTCATAGGGGAGAGGAGAGCAGTGGTGGATGGAACCATCCATGCAAGGACTCTTTGGTGACCTCACATTAGTGTGCCTGGCCTTCTATTGTAGAGCTGTGCTTTCCCTTACACTTGGGTTATCAATTATCTGCCTATTGTTGACTCAGGACAGGGGAGGCAAAAGGCCCAGAGCCAGCAGGAAGAAGAGGAAGAGAAATCCAGAATTTCTGGATAGAGTAAAGATCCTAAAAGAAAAAGAAAAAAAAGTGAGGGGCCTAGGAAGAAAGCTAAGCTGAAGACCTCACAGAGATAGAGGTCAGAAATAGAGTGAAGCAAATAGAGTCTGTTGGTAAGGTATGGGTATCAAATTGGGTTCTAACAACTGCTTCAATGTTTGTATCAAGAAATTAACAGACAACTTAAGGGAGTCTTCTCTTGAGGTCTTAACTCTATAGTCACAAGTAGGTGTATGTGATCGTATCATTTTTTTAAAAGTAAAAACTATTGTTCTTAGTGTATCCAAGACTTCTGTAGATATAGCAGGCCAGACAACTACTGATTTGTTAAGCACTTACTCGGATGATGAATACATTAAAAAAATCCAGAAGCGCCTGGAAGAAGATGCTATTGCCCGAGAGCAAAGAGAGAAAAGACGACGGAGATTGTTAATGGACCAATTAATAGCCCATGAAGCACAAGAGGTAAGATATTTAGCTATTGGTTAGATAATAGTGCTGAGAATTTTACAAAGTGTAACTTCTGTACATGCCACTTGGAATCAAATGTCACTTTCATAGCCTTATATCAATACCAGAAAACATGCTAGAAAAAAAAATCTCTATGTACTAAAATATTTAATATCTAGTGATGGTTGTATGTACAGCATTGTGAATATACTTGATACAATTGAATTGTGCACTTAAAATAATTGAAATGGTAAATTTTATGTATATTTTACCATAATCAAAAAAAGAACACTGACCAAAAAAAGGAATCTAAACTGTATATCAACCATGTGTATCTATTGTTACTTTTAGAGGA